TAGGAAGCAGCTCTGTGATTAACAATGCGCGCAGATTTATAACGTTCCAACGACCTAAAATCTGGAAATTTCTCTGATTTATGTAAATACGAAATTATAATTTATGAGCGTCAGAACAGTGGGCATTGTAAACCGTTTAAATAAAGAAAATGCGTTTTTGGGAATAATGATCTTTCCTGGCAATAGTTCCAAACGGTAATATTCTGTATTAAATCTTGCACCTAAATTACCTCTTTCATTATATTGAAGCCCTTTGACTATCGCCAAAAGCTCAATATGTAAGCGCTCTTTACAAATATCTTGCACATTTTGGCGCGTTCATATGTGAAAATTGGGATACGACACGAGAAACCGTTATTAGTATATTTACCAAGTACAAAGGAGAGATGAGCGTTTTTGTTCAATTAAGTGTAAGAAAATGCTTTGCATCAGTTCCTTTATAGAAGACCTTTACATACAATAACTGACCCTCAATTTCCCTTCTAAATAACGTTATGCGTAATGAAAAGTCGCATGTTACCATACTTTTTGCAAAGGACTGCGACTCGAGAGCAACATTACAAGAGAATTTATTGCGCAATCCAATAACACAAAATTTACATACTTTTTCGATGTCGTCTTACGCAATCTAATTTCTAAAAAATTCAAAATCTTTCTTTTGCTAAGGGAAATTTAAAATTATCTTATTTGTCCCAGAAGTATTGGCATATACCGTTCTTCCTTAGCGAAATGTGTACAAATTCCATTTTATTTTCTCGCGCGCATGTATTTTGCAGCATAAATTTAGAAATCCTAGCCTTGTGATATATTTTAACCAACCTCCATTGTTTCAATATAGCTAATTGTTCTCACCTTCATAAACAAGTAATTACAATTTAGTAAAAATTAGTCACAACATCTGCTTTCTATATTTATCCTATACCTACCTAATCCAGTTTTTATGGGAATTTATGTATTCGGACGTTCGTGGTAAATCCTATTAGAATTAATTGGAAGTGATCGTGACATAAGGTAACATGCAGATGGTTAATTATGTACTTCAACTGCAATCTACTGTCCACTTCCAAATTCACCTGATGGATTTTGCACAATGCGAGCAACTCGATGGTCTTCCAGATAAGGACTGGCAATGAAATATTTAAATAATCACAAACTTGTGATTGCAATTGCACTCAAAGTACTCTCCTTGGACGCTGTTCGAAATTTGAAAACTGGGGACTGGTATTTGGAACGTTCTGTAGTGTTTAAATTACATCTGTATATCATCGTGCTTTTATTCGCCCTTTAATTTAAGAGAAGAGTCAATAGGACCGAGTGGTTCTATCAACAATATTCAAGTGCTATAGAGCATTCGCATTATGAAGGAGTCAATTGTTCGGGGTGTTGTTTACCGTTTACGAATAGCATTTTGTAATCTTGGCCGTACACTGTCCTTGGGGTAAATAATAAACAAGCATGGTTTTGATTTGTAGTAATTACATATTCTCCTTGTAGACCGTTTGTCTTGACGGTTGTTGAACTTATGCTGGTATCAAACAAAAGCTGTATCTTTCAACCGATAGGGAGGGGGGGGGGGGGAGAAGAGGTAGAGGTGGAAAATGCAATTACTACAGATTGCCTAGATATTCCCTTGGCATAAGTAAACTATTTTTTGCTCTAAATATGGCCAAGAGAATTAATATTTTAATTTAATTTTTAATGTAATATTTCATATTTTGTTTATTTAAACATCGATTTCGTTGGCAAACCCCTGAACGCATTTTATCGATACGGGTAAAGTTAACTTAACGCATTTGTGATGACCACGTGTATTTTGGCCCAGACATATCAAAATCCTTATTTATACCGGTTCAAATGATCAAACGCACTCATTCGATACCCAAAAATTGAGACAACATGCATTTTATCCACGAGTTGTCAGGAATATTATGTATTCACCAATTTCGTTAGGAACTTGTTGGATGCTTAAGAAGGTTTTTGCATTACATGTGGATAAAATCCAATTGAAATGCTCTGTTTCTAAATCGTTTACGATTACCCTTTTTACTTGATTAATTTTGAGGAATCCTTTCTTTGTAAATCATACAAAAGTGTTTTAAAGATAGATTCATGGATCCCATTAATACACTATTATCTGAATCGCAGTACGCATCTAAAGAAGAACTAAATACTAATGATGCCCTTTATTAGTGCACCTCCACATTGTAGATAAAAACAAACAATCTCTAGCCGTATTCCTGGACCTTTCCAAAGCATATCAAACCCTTCTCACTCTATCCTATGTAAAGATTGAATGCTTTTGAAGTTAGAGATGTTGCAAATGAGATTTGAATAACAGGGTGATGTAACTACACTTTCTAAATTTATCGAAATCTAAATTTATATGCTTCATATTATGACTGTGATCTGAGAATATTAGTGCCACTTGGGCATCCTCGTTGATAGTCATCTAAATTTGAAACTCCAGAATGCTATTATATAAATTTTATTTACTTAAACCTATTTTACAACAAAATTTATTAAATAATGTATCGATTACTTGTTATGGCATTTAGGATGAGGTGCAAAACATTATTAAAACATTAATGGCCGTTTGCACCGACAAATTTAAGTGGAGTTTAGCTTAAGCGTAGCTTAAAATCCATGGCAACGATTATTAAGACAATGGTTGCCATGGATTTTAAGATACGCTCAAGCTAAGCTCCGCTTAAATTTATCGGTGCAAACGGGCATTAGTAACAAAAAGTTGTTTATAGCTACTCGCATTATATTTGCTGAATGGAAGTTCCTAACACTTCGCCAATTGTTTCTAAAAGCCCTAGTAGCTTTTACCTCGGCTTTTACATTCTTAACTAAAGACAAATTTAACCCTGCTGTCCTGTTCAGCTTCACTGCACGAACGTACTGTTCGGGTCAATATGACCCGTCAAAGGTTTGGGGGTCGTGGTTATTTAAATAAATTCATCTAATATGTATTAAAGTAAACTCTATTAACAAAAATACATGTTTCATGTAAAAAAAAAGGTCTTTCATACGGCATTCTCAATCAAAATATACAAACGTACTGAATTCAGTTTTACATTTCGAGATTCACTATCGACGTTGTTCGACGGCTTTCGTCTAGCAACAGCTAGTTCTTACTTGCCGAGATCTATTTCTTTTCACACAAATCTTATAGACAAATACCTATGTTTACGTTATTTAGAATAATGTCAATTAAAAATAAGTGTATTATGCAATTCTTGCTATTATATTCACTCGGGTCATATTGACCCAAACAATACATAGGTAACAATTCACTTTTTAAAAAATAATAGCGGAAGTAAAATTTTTATATAGCTCGAAAATAAAACCTTGTACACTAACGAACAAAGTCATGCAATACCATAGCGTTACACCGCGCGGTATTCTTTAAAAGAAGAAATGAATTTGTTTTTGGGTCAAATAGACCCGAACAGGACAGCAGGGTTAAATTAATTAAACATAGGTAGGTAATCTTTCCACATCAAATAATCAACAAACGTTATTAATCCAAGTCCAACACAGACCCAAATTCATTCTTGCAAGATCTATGTCAAGCTGTTCAAGTGTACCTATGCCAATTTATTAAAAAAAAAAAATATTTTGTCCCTATCTAAAACAAGTATAAATTGTGCACAGCTCTTGTGCAAATAAAGCTCATTTTTTAAAACCGAAATAGCTTAGTAAATGATTGCGTTATAAGGTAGTAGCATGCTATATTTATCGGTGTTTTCTTTCTTGTTAAATGATTCATGGACTTCACCAATAGATGCATTTTGAAATAGTAGGTACAGCTACAGATAAAAAGTAGGTATATATAAAACAATTTTGTCGCATATATATATGCTTTACATTTTGCACTCAAACGAGAAAATATCCAACCCTTTTCTATAAAATATTCAACATGACAACCCCCTTCTACACATGTATCACTACTAAACAATCCGACTGTTTTCTTTTAATTTTATCTTCATGGCAAGTTACCTTTAACAATTTAGGCAGAAGCAAATGGGCACACAACTGAATGATAAGTTTTATGACGTCTTTGACGTTCAATTTCAAATGGTTAGTGAAACGCGAATCACGACAGCAGTTTATCATTTTTATTGAATAGTACGTTAAAATCAATTTTCCTTAATAATTTTAGACATTTCGTATAGTTCAATTTGTGTTAAATTCAGCTGTTATTCATCGGCATACACTTAACTTGAAAAAGTTCCAATTGGGAGTTATGAAATTTTAGAGATGTCTACTAAAATCATAAGTGCTTTTCATCGAGCACGTTTTCCACAAGAACTGAATACTTTTGACGGAAATAGTGCCCATGAGGGCAAATTTAAGTGCAGGATTAAAACTTGATACAGTGACATACATTTTCACGAATGTCACTGTTAAGTACACGAGTATATTGATTTCTGTATGTGACCTGCCACAAATTTGAAGATTGAATAAAATAAACTTGAAGGAATTTTATAACAATCTAAATCTTGAATTTAAACCAAAGTCAAGGGCTTTACCTAATGTGAAAATAATAGGTAACTCACGCATTTTACAATTGTTCAAAGAAAAAGGGGTGCATTGTTTTGTTTGTGATTTATAAACATACAGCAACAAGTGGTGCTGGACTGAGTTAAAATTTAATTAAGGGGTTCATCACCTATGAATATTCTATACTTTTCTTTTTTTACGCTTTAGTTAGATGATATAGGAATTATGCAAGTAGGGGTTATTGCATTATTGGATGCGCCATAATAACCCTACATTTTGTTATATCTTTTTCCCAAAACATTTGGTTGTCACATGGTTCAAGTAAATCGTAAAAGAGCACAAGAATCTACCACTTGATTGGGTGCGTTGATTAATTTTTGTTGAGAGAGGGTTACGAAATATGTACGAAGTGTATGTTGATAATCATAAGAACAACGAATGTACGCATTTCAACGTGAGCTGTTTTCTAATTATCTCTATTTGTTTTTCAGGACTGCAGTATGAGCTTCCAGAATCTGACAAAAATCATTTGTGGTCTGTGCAACCTGCTTATGCGGGATGCGCATGGCAAAGTACGCTTAGTGCGACAGCGACCGCGATGAGTACTGTGGGGGCAGGGGGTGCCAACCCGGCACAGGCGGGGGCCCGCACGCCTAGTGCCCCCAAGCGGCCGATAAGACGTGGAAAACCACCCCCAGATAGGCCACAACGTGCCCTCTTCTGCCTGTCGCTCAAAAACCCCGTCAGAAAGCTCTGCATTGACGTTGTTGAGTGGAAGTATCCTTTTTATAAATTGTTAGTTCTTTTGTTTTGTATTACATCTGTTATTCTTTATGTATGCGTTTAGTACTATCACAAACAATATATTGTGGCATTAAGGTCCAAGACACGACACCTGAAAATGATTATTTCAGGTACGGATACGAGCGTAGGTACTACACACACGTAACCCACAATCGCAAATTTCTGTAAATGTTTAACCCCATGTTCCTTATATAACTGAACTCACAAGGCTTTAGAAAACATAGTGATCATTTCTGATATTTGCGACGCGAGCTTATATGGGTTCATGACGATGACAATTTGCTACAATACAAGAAGTACCTAATTTTTATCTACTAGTATTACGCTGCATACAATTTTCAGTGCAAGCGATCAGTAGATACTTACAAACTCAAATTGCCCAGCTTTGCAAAGCAAGAAGTCTTGTTGGGTTTGGAATTTTCATCTATTAATATAAATCTAAATATTAAAGAAATTGGAATTAAGTGCACAATTAAATCTTTTCCTTAATACGAATTTAGACCGTTTGAGTACCTAATTTTACTTACAATATTTGCCAACTGTGTTGCCTTAGCTGTGTACACTCCCTTTCCCTGTGGCGATTCTAACTCTACAAACGCGTATTTGGTAAGTAAAACCTAATCAGCGGTATTTTAAAGTCCGATTCTTTTAGGAAAAGATCGAATATGTATTTTTAGTAATTTTCACAATTGAATGTGTTATGAAAGTAATAGCGTATGGTTTTATAATGCACGCAGGTGCTTATTTGAGAAATGGATGGAACTTGTTAGATTTTACTATAGTGGTAATAGGGTAAGTCAGGCATAAACGAAATGGAATGTACCTATATTAATTTTTTATGTTTTAAAGAACAATAAGTACAGTTTTACAACATCTTACAAAAGACACTTTTGATGTAAAAGCCTTAAGGGCTTTTCGCGTTTTACGACCTTTGAGGCTCGTTTCAGGTGTTCCAAGTAGGTTGAATTAGAAACATTAAGAGAGTGGTATTCTAATAATTTGTATTTCCGTAGGTCTACAAGTTGTGTTAAATTCGATACTTCGTGCCATGGTGCCTTTATTACACATTGCTTTGTTGGTATTGTTCGTTATAATTATATATGCAATTATTGGGTTAGAACTATTCTCAGGGGAAATGCATAGGACGTGTTTTAATAACGAAACAAGTAAACATTTTGATTTTATTCGATTTGAAATATTTATAATTAAGTTCCTTAGAAAGTATGATGGATGATCCATCACCATGTGGCGATGGATATAACTGTACAGAATTAACAGGAACGTGGTACTGTGATTATTATTTTGATGGTCCGCATAATGGAATTACGATATTTGACAACTTTGGACTTTCTATGTTAACCGTTTTTCAATGTATCACGTTAGAAGGCTGGACCGAAGTGCTTTATTACGTAATCGCTAAAAAACCCATATAAACAGATAATTAAAAAGGACTTTTTGCAGATTCAAGATGCTATGGGAAGAACGTGGCAATGGATATATTTTGTATCCATGGTGATTTTAGGAGCGTTTTTTGTTATGAACTTAATTCTTGGTGTATTAAGCGGGTATTGCGTTGTAATACGTATAGGTATTTCAAATTCATGTCTTCTTTCGCAGAGAGTTTTCCAAAGAAAGAGAGAAAGCAAAAGCGAGAGGCGATTTTCACAAACTTAGGGAAAAACAACAGTTTGATGAAGATCTTAAAGGTTATTTAGATTGGATAACACAAGCTGAAGATATTGAACCTGAAAGAGAAGATCAAATTAATCAGGATATTAAAGTCAAAGTCAATAATGAAATGGAGTCAACAGATCAGTTAGGAGAAGAAGTAGAAGTTCAACAGGAATCTCGATTTAGAAAACGTAAAAAAGATTTTGAACGTATAAATCGCAGAATGAGACGAGCGTGTCGAAAAGCTGTTAAATCTCAAGCATTTTATTGGTTGATTATCGTTTTAGTGTTTTTAAATACCCTCGTTTTAGCCACAGAACATTACAAGCAACCGGATTGGTTGGATGAATTTCAAGGTAGCGTGAATTTTAGTCTTGTAATTTTTTTATATTTTCTTTTTCAGAAAAAACAAACATGTTTTTCATAGCGCTTTTTACTTTAGAAATGTTGTTGAAAATGTATAGCCTCGGTTTTCAGGTAATTTCTAGAAACTAAACGATTGTACATACTCACATCTCAGTTTTAGGGCTATTTCGTTTCATTATTTAATCGATTTGATTGTTTCGTTGTTATTGGTAGTATTACTGAAACTATCTTGACCAAAACTGAAGTTATGCCTCCACTTGGCATTTCCGTTTTACGATGTGTTCGGTTACTTAGGGTTTTTAAAGTAACAAAGTACGTACACCAACAAGAACTTTTGGCTATTCTATTGATAACTAATTTATTACTTCCAGATATTGGCGATCGTTATCAAATTTAGTAGCGTCTTTGTTAAATTCCATACAATCTATTGCGTCACTTTTACTTTTGTTGTTTCTTTTCATTGTTATATTTGCATTACTGGGGATGCAAGTGTTTGGGGGAAGATTTAATTTTAACGTTAATAAGGACAAGCCCAGGCACAACTTTGACAGCTTTTGGCAAAGCTTGTTAACTGTCTTTCAGGTAAAATAGCGACACATAAGTTTATTTTCAAAAATATTACATTATTCCAGATATTAACCGGTGAAGACTGGAATGTTGTTATGTATGATGGTATACAAGCTTATGGTGGAGTTAAAACGATAGGAGCATTAGCTTGTATATATTTCATAATCTTATTTATTTGCGGTAATTGTATCCTTTTCACACTACACTTTACAATTCTGCGCTTAATTTGGTATTCTTTCTAACTTAGCTGTTAGATATATTGTTAAACGTTTTCTTGGCTATTGCTGTTGATAATTTAGCTGACGCTGAATCGCTCACAGCCATCGAAAAAGAGGAAGAAGAAGAAGAGGTAACGTACTGCACTCGCTGTTCATCCGTTTAAATATATTTCTTGACGTAGGCAGAAAAAAATAAATCTAAAAGTCCCACTCCGGCTCAGGAGGACCTTGATATGGACGAGCGTAGTATAGACGAGGAGGAAATGGAAGACGGTCAAATGTATGATTCGGAAAGGTGACGATATTCATAATCCTATCTACTAGAAGCTCATGCATGCATTGCAGATCGGAAAGAGACGAAGAAACAGAATCGCGCGATAAGCGACAGAATGACGAAGATGAAGTTGATGAGGAAGAAGATGATGAGGAAGGGTACGCGGAGGAAGAGGAAGAACAGGCAGACAGCCAGGGTAGGTTTCATTATTAAACGTTCACGGGTTTAACTGCACATAGAAATAAAAACATAGTAGACGCAATGCATATAGGGATAGATAATTACAACGACAAAACGAAATGGCCGTAATTTTCAGACGAACAAGTAGATGAACCTAGTAAACAAACTGCCCGACCCCGTCGTCTATCAGAGGTTAACATCAAAAACGTACCTCGACCAATTCCAAAAGGCAGGGCGTACTTTATCTTTTCGCATACAAACAGGTATGCCCCTTTAGACCGGGACATAGCTGCAGGAGGATAAAATGCATTCTTAAACGATGTGTTAAACAGACTTGGTACTTCCGGCAGCTATGTCAGTTGTAAACATAGATTAATGTGTGTGGTGTGCACGTCTTTCCAGATTTGGAGAATGACGAAGGCGAAGTAACTGCCAGACCTAGGCGTATGTCCGAAATGAAATCCAGTTCTAAGAAGTTACCAATACCTCCAGCGACGTCATTCTTCATTTTCTCTCCTACAAACAGGTGATAGGCATTGGTGCCGTAGGTTGTTGTTGAAGTGTGTCCCGCTTGATCCCCTCGACACTGTACCAGCCTCGCACCAAATTTTTGTAGTAGTGCGCCCTAGTAGACGACTTACCATACTATTAGAATCCTTTCTTAAACTGACCCAACCCATGCATTTTAAGTAGATATTTTCAGCTCCAATGGATGTGATGGGATCATGAATGTATCATGTCCTTGTGTTTTTAACATTTATTTCTTGTTATAATGTAGTTTTTTTACACTGATCTTTCGTATTTGAAGGTTTCGCATATTCTGCCACTGGCTCTGCAATCATTCCTGGTTTGGTAATATTATACTAGCCTGTATTTTAATATCATCGGCCTTACTAGTGATGGAAGATCCATTGCAATCCAGCACTGAGACGACTTTAGGAAGGGTTAGTGCCAAATGTGTGTTTGGGATTATTAATACGAACGCCTTTCAGGCACTTCAATATTCAGATTACTTCTTTACCGCTATATTTGTATTGGAATTAATGCTCAAAACTATCGCGTACGGATGTATTTTACACGAGGGAGCTTTCTTCAGATCTGCCTTCAACGTTTTGGATTTGGTAGTAGTATGTGTGTCATTGGTATCTATTATCCAAAGGTAAGGGTAGAAAATTAACTTGTGCGTGGATTAATGTGATATATACATATTTTTAGAGATGGGCTATCTGTCGTTAAGATACTCAGAGTGCTGCGTGTGTTACGACCGTTGCGGGCAATTAATAGAGCTAAGGGACTTAAGGTAATGTCACGTTTTATGGGGCTGGCCTTTTAGGTCTGGCCAAATTCAAATAGGTAACTTAATTGGAGGCAGGGGCCACTTATCGTTCTTTGATTTGTCTTTATCTTTAGCGTGTAGTCCAGTGTGTGATAGTTGCGGTAAAGACCATCGGCAACATTGTATTGGTCACCTGCCTCCTTGAGTTCATGTTTGCGGTAATAGGAGTCCAGTTGTTCAAGGTAGGCACCAGCAGTCCGTTGTTGTTTATGAGCAAATGCACCTATGGGTTTTTCTACTACAGATGCCCTTTACAGTATTAACCCCTGTATGCGCTGGGACCCGTGGCGACCAGGCTTGAGGTTGGGAGTCCCGGCCTATTAACCCGCATGCCACGCTGTGTCTGTGCAGTGCTGAAGTGCTGTGTGCAGTATGCAGTGCAGTTTGCCGAGCGGCGCACTACCCGCACTTGTAGTCATATCTAGGCTAGGGCACTGCCGCGGCCGCTTTGGCTGCTGGCTCCCTTCCTCAGCGAACGCGACCCGACCCTGGGTGCATTTGACCGTTCCCGGCTGGCTGCGCGATGCCCCAATCGAAGCCTCGCTCTTTACAACATACCTTTTACCACTACTTCTTCTGTTTTCCGCAGTTTCATATTTTACTGACACTATGTTTTGTTTGTTTCATCCTCTCATGCCAATTCTGCTCATGGCTAGTATGTAGTGAAATGCGTGATAGTAGCCATTAAGACGATCGGAAATATAATGCTGGTTACCTACCTCCTGCAGTTCATGTTCGCTGTGATTGGGGTGCAGCTATTTAAGGTAATAGCTCAAGCTTGTTGCTGCACTCGAAGGTAGACCTGCATGTTCTGGCCGTAGCTGGGAGCCGCCGAGGATTGCCTTCTTTCCAGTCCTCGGCGGCAACCACGGTAGTCTTCGCGCGCAGAACACTGTATCTGTCTGCCTGTCTATCTGTCGGCACTGTAGAAGCTGGTAAGCTTATATCGGCTTATACATTTTCAGTCTCGCTGTTATAAAAATCGCTGTTGCCTTTGCATTAGGGAGTCAGCGAGTGCTGCTTGTTGTGTTAATGCAGGCGGTTGTTAACCAAGTCTATGCAAGAGTTCTAACAATGTAGAACTGGTAGATTTATTATTTCGTCTATTTGTTTATTATACGACATTATACTAGTTATGACTACAAGTGAATCAAGATTAGAGAGATTAAGTGGTATATTGCACGTGGTTGTAAGCACGTTATACTAAGTGTTTGAAAATTTTTTATATTGACAATTTGCATGGTGTGGCGTATGCCCTCTTTTTTGCTTGTTTGTAATTGTCGAAGAAAGTATAATAACTTGTATGTGGATTTAGGGGAAATTTTATAAATGCACTGATGATTCCAAGCTAACCCTTGCGGATTGCAAGTAAGTAATTCTGCCATTCGCCTAATAATTGCTATACTATACCTAAGTTTTTAGAGGAACTTACATTGTTTACGAAGAAGGAAACATTGACGCTCCGCAAATAAAAGAGCGTGAGTGGGAACCAGAAAAATTCCATTTTGACAATGTGGCAAAAGCTATGTTGACATTATTCACTGTTTCAACATTTGAAGGGTGGCCAAATCTTCTTTACGTCTCCATTGACTCCAAAGACGAAAACTTTGGAAGAATTCACAATTACCGCCCAATTGTTGCTATATATTATATAGTTTATATAATTATAATTGCGTTCTTCATGGTTAATATATTCGTTGGTTTTGTTATTGTTACATTCCAAAATGAAGGTGAACAAGAATACAAGTGCTATCTAGAAAAGAATCAAAGAAACTGTATAGAATTTGCTCTAAAAGCGAAGCCAGTTCGAAGATACATTCCCAAGCATCGCATTCAATACAAAGTGTGGTGGTTCGTAACGTCAAGACCGTTCGAGTATACTATTTTTGTCCTTATATTAATTAACACAATAACGTTAGCCATGAAGTTTCACAGACAACCAGATTTTTATTCCACCGCCCTAGATATCCTTAATATGATTTTTACGTCGGCATTTGCGTTGGAATTTGTGTTTAAATTAGCCGCGTTTCGGTTTAAGGTGAGCTTTCTGATTGGTGATCATTTCATTAATGAATGTATTTTAGAATTATTTTGGTGACGCTTGGAACGTTTTTGATTTTATCATTGTTCTTGGAAGTTTTATTGACATTATATATTCAGAAGTTAAAGTAAGTGATTGTAGAAAATGTCCTGGTTCGTTAACAGTTGCTTACAGCCTGGATCTGGTTTGATTTCAATAAATTTTTTTCGGTTATTTCGGGTAATGCGACTTGTAAAGTTGTTAAGTAGAGGAGAAGGCATCAGAACACTACTATGGACTTTCCTGAAATCATTTCAGGCATTGCCTTATGTTGCCTTGCTGATTGTAATGTTGTTTTTTATATACGCTGTGATTGGAATGCAGGTATTACGATTTTCATAGACATCAGCATCATTCCTAAGTGAGTGAGTGATATACTGAACACTTTCAGATGTTTGGGAAAATCGATCGCAATGGTGACGGTGAAATAAATCGGAACAATAACTTTTCCACGTTTTTTCAAGCTTTGTTGGTCTTATTTCGATCAGCAACAGGTTAGTTATGTCCATTTTACCATGCCTACAATACTGTTTCCTTTTAGGCGAAGCGTGGCAAGAAATAATGATGTCTTGTGCAGCTACGGACAAAGTTAAATGCGACCCCGTCGTGAGAAATGACACTAAAAATGACACTACTTGTGGCTTCGATATTGCCTACCCGTATTTTATTTCTTTTTATGTGTTGTGTTCGTTTTTGGTAAAGCTTATCCACAGAACTTTGTGTTTGGATTTTATTTTTGCGATTTTAGATTATAAATTTGTTCGTGGCCGTTATCATGGATAATTTTGATTATTTAACTCGAGATTGGTCCATACTCGGCCCACATCACTTAGAAGAGTTTATAAGGCTGTGGAGCGAATACGATCCTGATGCCAAAGGCAGAATAAAACACTTGGACGTTGTTACTCTTTTAAGAAAGATCTCTCCTCCTCTTGGTTTTGGTAAACTATGTCCACATCGGGTAGCTTGCAAACGTTTAGTTTCTATGAACATGCCGTTAAATAGTGACGGGACTGTATTATTTAATGCAACTCTATTTGCTGTAGTACGTACATCTCTGCGAATTAAGACTGAAGGAAACATAGATGACGCAAATGCAGAGCTACGATCCGTTATTAAAAAAATTTGGAAACGTACAAGTCCAAAGTTGTTGGATCAGGTGGTTCCTCCCCCTGGAGTTGAAGATGAAGTTACAGTCGGAAAGTTCTACGCAACTTTTCTCATTCAAGATTACTTCAGAAGATTTAAAAAGCGCAAAGAGCAAGAGATGAAAGATCAAGGGGATAAAGAGTCTCATAACACAGTTACCCTACAAGCGGGTTTACGAACATTACATGAAGCGGGACCTGAACTCAAGCGTGCTATTTCCGGAAATTTAGATGAACTAATAGATGACAATCCCGAACCTATGCATAGAGTATGTTTTACAAGTGCTTTTTTTGTTGATAGTTAATAGATGACTTTGTAGCGAAATCATTCTTTGTTTGGTAGCGTGTGGTCGTCAATGCGAAGAGGACACAGTTTTAACAGAACGAAATCTCTAAAAGTTGCGTCAACACAGATCAAAATATCACCAGCTTCGAGCGGGGATTTTCTTCCATATAATTCAATTCAAAAGGGAATAACTGAGGGGATGAATCACATTACGCCAATTGTAAAAAATGCCGTATTTCAAAACAGAGCAAGCGTAACGTCGTTGCACAATCAAGAAGGATTAAAAGACGAAGAGTCCATTCCGCTCAGGTCGCTTAGTAACGTTTTTACTAACGACGCCGATAAAAAGAGTTTTGAAGTTATCGGGTGAGTATAAACAATCATACATGTATATTTAATGAGTATTATGGTCTAGAAATTTAAAGTACTTTCAATCAGAACCCAATTAACGTTGTCTTAAAACATTTGGATGAACGTATGTTTCGATTTATCTTGCCTAACATAGATATTGGTTATCGTTTGAAGTACATCTTTCTATAAATTTGACAACGTAATTACAATAAGACACTATTACCATTTTATCATTGCGTAACTTGTATAAGGCTAAGAAATGACAGGATCAAAAGTATGAGGATAATATGGTAAAACGTGAATTTAAATTTCAGTAAATCTGGCTTCCTACACCCCCACTACAATGGTAAGCGTAAGTGGGCGTGTGCGTTTGCCTGATGGTTTTTATTTTGATTATTTTGTCATGTGGTGATTGTTGTGTTTGTGCCAGTCTGCAGGATGACCACACTGAGTTGTTGCCACCGACGCCACCACCGCGCCGCGTACGGCTGGGTCTAGGGGGCGGTTGCATGACGGCCTCGCCATCGCCTGTGCAACACGCACCCAGCTTTAGTCGTATCGCAAGTGGCCTGAAACTCGCACAAGCACAAGCTATGGCAGTTGCAGGCTTCTTGCCGGAGCCAAACGACTGGCCTAGCTCGCTGCAACCCTTGGAAGCGGATGGAAATTCCCGCCATGCACGTTGCTATCTTCTTAATCACAGGGCTTCCTTCCACGGCCGAGGTTAGCCCTTTAACGCTCATAGCAGACTTGCATGCTACTAACCCTTCATGCATGCCCTAAATAAAATATTAGCGTAGCTTAGCTTCAAAGTTTGCGGACAATGCTCTGCACGAAATGTGTTCGGTTTCAGCGCCGCACAGCGAACCAAATGGACACGCGGGTCCCGAACGCCTTTCACATTCCTTACCTGGAAGTCCCGCTGATCGAAGACCGACACCTTTTGAGGTAGTGGGTTCTGCAGAAAGTTTGGTAGGTAGAGTACTAGCGGAACAAGGTTTGGGCAAATACTGTGATCCCGACTTTGTGCGATACACGTCAAAGGAAATGCAAGAAGCTCTCGACATGACACAAGAAGAAATGGATCGCGCGGCTCATCATCTCTTACAGCAAGAACGGCGAATAAATGTACAAACGTTGGACGCTTTACAATCGCAGTTATAGCAAATTGCGACGTGTCATCCCTAAGTGGTCCCTCCCTTTTCCCTCGACCTAACAACCAAGTGCCTAATTCACTCTGGTCCAAAGAAGACTAAGTAAATAATTTTGTGTAGTTTTTTAACCTGGAATTTATTTGAAGGATTGTTTTTCCAGTTAGAAGTCCAATTGTACAGGGTGTGAGAACAAATACAAAAATGCAATTTTGTAATATCAAATGTGTCAAAACTATTACTTACAAAATAAAATAATCGTACATTTCATTTACTTTAGTGATTTATAATTTGTATGTTAACTTATTACGTTTATGTCTTCAGTACTATCACAGCAGTTTAGAATTAGTTCATTCCTTTCATACTGTGAGAAAATTTTTAACGACCTATTTAACAAAATTCTAAACATTTTAATCTTTACATGTTCACTTAACTTTTGTTTCATTTCTGTATGATTTGTATGATGCTCTTGTGGAAAATTGTGTAGTAAATGTTTATGATAAATTTTTTACTCAAAGTTAAATAAATAATACCAGTTTTTAACGCTTTATCCTTCACTACACATCACTTTGGGATAATATCGGTTTCGATGCTTGGGAAAAGAAGTATAGAAGGATTTGGTTCGCATAAAACCCGTTCATCTAATTAAGATCTTGTACCGGCGTCTATTCCACAATATGCCTCTGCGATGAACGCCAGGGGCACCTAACGGCAAAGGCGAACAGAAAATAATAAAACAAAGAGTGTGAAGGATTACCTTTTTGATTTGGGAGCCAAACCTCGATTTTACTATGTGCTCAATGTTGCACTACTCTTGATTCAATCATTTCTCAGCATCAACAGAGACCTAGAACTATTTATTAAGAGGCAAAGCAAAGCGATGCAAGCTTTTTAGGAGAGGCGATGGTGTCTGTCTGTCTGTGAACACGATAAATGGCAAACGATTGGGGTCAAACTGTGACAGTTGTCCAATTTTAAGCACCACGTAAGGTCACGCCGCTCTGCCGCTTTTCTAGATTTAGTTTAGTAATATTATACCTTTTAAACAATCAAGCCAAATGACTACTGAGTGTAGTTGCGAAGCACTCGCTAAGTTGTAAGTCAATATTTGCCTAGAATTTCTCACAAATTTCGTTTCGACAAACACAAGAATAACGCCACCCTATATCTTTTTATTCCAGAGATATAAAATCTGTGTACCGATAGGTACTTCATTATAATGCAATGCTTAGGATATTACGCTAATTTTTTATGAGACAGTTTACGCTACTTCCGAAACCCAATGCGATGATCTTGATTCACTTAATGTGCCTTATTGAAACCACATTTTATTTCTTACAATTCGAACATTTCATTATTTCAGGTAGTCATACTGGGTAGCTACACTGAATTAGTAATCCTATCATCGTCGATGCGTTCCTACGTGTAGCCAATATATTGTTTGTACTATTTTGACAGCAATCTTCCTGTATGTAGACTTTCTAAGGAATTACAAAAGGTTCATTTGGCCGCGGATACATAGGTAATAGTTTACTTAATTGTTTCACATAAAGCAAGAATTAAATGACAATGATCTAAGACACATTCATAGATCGGTTCTTAACTCCAAAGAACCGAAGTCGTTAGTTAAATTGTTCCAAGCATCTGATCTATAAAATTTTTATGGTATTCCAGATGTTAAATTTCGAGATACCCAAAAATAAGGAACTGAAATTTAAAGGTCTTACGGAATTACGGATTAGGGTGATTTAAAGTAAACTGTACCCTACCGACATTTACACGTTAAATAGGTATTTGTGCGTGAGGATTATATATAGGAAAGGGCCCATTTTTAGATCTTAGAAAGGAACTAACCCACCCTTTGCCATCTAGTATAGTAATCGCCATCTGCCTACTTATAGTATAGGTACTTATCACCACTCTAATATATAACGCGCAATCTCCATAATGCCCGCCTTACTCATTCATAATACTTCAGTTGTTGAGAAAATTTTCATTTTAGCAGTTGTGTGCGGTTAAAAACTATAATGTTGGACCAAAGTAGGAAGTATCCTCGAGAAGCTACTGTGGCTGCCGCAATTTGCGGAATTTTATTCTGCATAATTGGAGTTATCGGTGAGATATTTTATATTTTACGTACTGTTAATTAAATTCAGCCTTAAAATAGTTGGTGTGCAGGTAGTGGCAGAAAATACAGATTTACAAAATGTATAGGGGTTGTAACATATTTTTTATTCGTAATTGATGCGAAATACCGATCACAATTTCAACATTGTTATAAAATGAATGTGCGCATCCGATTGATTTGCAATTTATAAACAGGTATTCTTATCTCTTTAACTTTAACAGTTACTAATTTCTTATCTCGTGGGTATGCTTGATTTCTTCTAATTGTTTATGAATTTTCCGCAGTTATTTCTGCAATTATCAACGCTATATTTTTTAAATGATCCTATTCTTGAAGCAAAATGTGTTTATTGCCCAAGTCGGTAGGCGCAACACGAATTAAGCTTGATTTCTATACTTAGTCATCTTTCCTCGAGTTCAATTAAGAAAATTAAAAATAGTATAAGAAGTTACCATTCTATCATTGAAATTTTAAAGGTGCCAATAGCTGTTTGGTCTCTGCGTTGATGGCAAAAGGAGACAAAGATCATTTGCAGGCACGTGAAAACTTTTTTTTATATAGGAATGAATTTTGGATTAAGTTATAAGGATTTTGTTCGAATGTATCAAATACCTACATTTTTTGTAACCGTGCCTAAACGATAAGATAAGTACTCGAATATTTACGTTTCAATGTATGATTTTTGATTGCATAGAATACTTCCGTTTTGTCCGATTTAAAAATGAAACCTCTGATTTGAATATGTTCTTACTGGCTCCAGCTATTACTGTATGTCTAAGTAGTTTCACTCGCCACGCTTTAATTTAAACACAATTGTGTCATTACCAAGGGTTACTCATTTGAAAATAAATAAACAATTCTATAAAATTTGACACCCCTTTGACGGTTGTTTATTTATTTTCACTTTGCAACCCTTCAGTGACACCAGACAAATTACGCGATATTTAAATAAAGATTTCCATGGAAGGGAATATTATACTGTTTGAAAATTTAATCCGCCCCAACTTTTACAGAATTTTCTTTTAGGTAACCTAGTTACGATCATAGCATTGGCACGATGTCCAAAATTACGCGTACAAGCAACAACGGCGTTCGTGATTTCGCTGTGTTTGGCGGATTTACTTTTTTGCGCCCTTAATTTGCCTTTAACGATTTCGAGATACGTTAATGAAGCTTGGACATTAGGAACCGTACTTTGTCAACTATTTCCTGTGTTATTTTACGGCAATGTCGCTGCTTCTCTGCTCAATATGGTGGCTATAACAATTAATAGGTGAGCACTAGATTTACAAATATACAGAATTAAATAGTTCTTAGATGACAGCGATTTTAGCTAGGGCAGTAAATTTTTGTTGGAAATGGCGTTAAAGTCAGTTTTCTAATTCCATAAGATTTAAAAATACCTTAGCATAAGATTAATCCAATCCTGTCTTATTCGATTTTATTGTAATTTATGCACTTAAATGTTTAGAGATTTGTGTAGACTTTATATTTATTTATGTGGCTTCCATAATGGATTAATTCCTTCTGCACATTCAAAGCGCTTCGTTAAATTCAACTTCAATATCTGTTTTCTGGTTAGGTTATCAATTACATCCTTGTCTCGTAACATAAAGCATGTGTTGTTCTCTATACAGAACGCTGCTTGTCTTTTATAGAATATTTAAATGTAGTTTAAAAAATCTTAATTAATTGCAGATAACATAACAAAACGTATTTGCAATAATGACGTAGTCCGAAAAGACTTTTTTTCCAAAACCACCGTATGAATGGTATTGTTTTGTAAATCGCACTTCATCGTATGTCCGGTTAATTTATCATCTTCATTGTACAAATTACACAAGTTCAGGTCAAATGTTAAATGTCTAATTTAAGGACATAAAAAATGTGAGCGGCTAGTTTGGATGTGCGCTTGTGCTAATTAATTTTTACATTGACGGTCCAGTTAAATTTTGACAATAATTAGCAATAAACGAATTAGATTATAATTCGTACACTTTGGCTTCCTTTGTTAATATAAACGCATTAATTTATTTGTTCCTATAAATTACTGTCAAGGGTGGCAGAAATTTGCAATATGAAAGCAACCTTACCGTGAGAATACGGTTCTAAAAATATCAACGCGGTTATTAATCTGGCGATAATAACATGTATAATTAATAAGATTAATTGAGACTACAAAATAGTAACCCGAAACGATCGTTCTCGGTGAAGATTATTTGTAACCTCATCCAGATATAGCTAATCTGTTGATTTTTATAACAATGACAATTAAATTTGTATAAATTAGCAGTGTGATTTTAGGTACATTTTGATATCTTGTAATCGATACTACAACCAAATGTATTCGACAGCATCAATCTGCCTGCAGCTGTTCTTTTGCTGGGGTTTCTCCTTTAGTATAATGGTAAGTGTATATTGATTTTGGTCTCTTTAGAATAGATATTTTCCCAATAGCGTTCAGCTGTTCTAGGCATTAGTTGATTATAATTTTATTTTAGTTGCCACCCCTCTTGGGCATCTGGGGAAGACTGGGACTAAACGTATCTACGTTCTCTTGCACCATTCTAGAGAAGGACAATAAATCACCGAAGAAAGCAATATTCCTTCTAGGGTTTGTATTACCCTGCGTTGTTATTATAATGTCCTACTCCTGCATTTATTGGAAAGTTAGACGTACAAGAATGAAGCTTAGAACACACGAGTAAGTATTTTGCTTCCTTTCATTTAATTAAGTCAGTATGTTAAAAAAGTTATATAAATATGGTTATTCTTTCGGTAGGTACCGTCGAATATCACTCCAGAAAAAAAATATCTAGCCCATATTGCACCGAATGCATTAGGTTATATAGGCCAGGGAAAACTGAACATTTCCACTCTTGATGTCTTGATCTACAACTCCGATAGAATCTTACAGAAAAAAAATAACGATTTATGTCGATATTATGATTAAATGGTATTACAAAATTCGACATGTCGATCATGGGTATTGAAGTCAATTCGATTCCAACCAGATCTAGATTCTGCATGACTGCTGGTGGTGGGAAAATGTTCCATTACAATCAATAAGCATTATTACAACTATCATAATATCGACTTAAATCGTTAATTTTTTATATACATTCAAAATTAGATGACTCATTAGTAGGCGGGGGACACTTTCCGACCCGAAGGACCAATCTTCAAATATAACTTTTGTTTGAAAAGTGATGTTAAAAAACCGCTCGACAATTTTGTTCCATCAAGTATGTTCACAACAAATTTCGTGGAATTCTCTCCATTTTCGTTATCCGGGTCAGAATTGCAGTGGAATGTTGTTTTTCGAATTTTCAAAAACTACTTTTAGATTCGTGATTTTCATGTTCAGAAAACCCCAGACACCAAATTTTATCGAAATCAGATTTTTTTCGCACCCCCGTTGAGGAGTGCGTCCTTTCATGGAAGGAATGTTGAAATTTTTTTGCAAAATCGGAAAGGGCATAGGTACCCCAAAACCTATATTCAAAGACGTGCCACCCGTCTTTGTAACTCTACTCGTTGCTGAGAAAAAAATTAAAGGAGACACACCATCAGTCACATACCAATTAACCTAGGTATATTCTTTACCTTTTAGCGCATTTTTTAACAATTACAAAAAATGTGCTATTGTTTGCGTTTTTGTCTTTCATGGTACTCTAATGTCAAAAGTTAGCGAATATCTCAAAAACGGTTTGTTGAATGAAAGTACTCTCAAAGGCAAAATCTGCAGAATGGAGTGTCGGAGGATTTTAAATGTATGCCAGGCGGTCTGTAATGTTTGTGTGTAAAGAACCTCCTCCTCTTATAATCCAACCATTTACTAAGCTATTTCTGTTAAAAAAATGCGCTTTATCTGCACAAGAGTTGTGCACAATTTATATACTTGTTTTTACATACATAAAGTGATAGTCAAAAATCATGTGTTACATACACCTGTTCTCTGTGGAAGGTGCTCTTTAAAATATTTGCACAAATAATGTTATAGTTTTATCACAGGTAATAGGCTAAATGTCTCACATGATAACACCGAAATTTCTAAAAAGTATGTTATTGGGAGATTATCGTAGTTCAAACGTCAAAAAATTGACCTGATGGGTAATTTCTATCTTTTGTAACTACCCAACTTTGCATTCATCGAATGAAAGTCTATCGTGGCCATCTGACTGAAAGAAGAAATTAATTGTAATTGTGACTAAATTCACATGTTCTATGTGCCGCTATGAACTCGAAACTCTTGTCGTTACTTTGTCGGCAATGATAAGTACCTACATCCCCTCAAGTAACAGCAGTAATTTAATTTGAACGTCAAAAAGGTGGTTATTCCCATTTTTGAGATGCATATATATTTATTTGTTTTTATTATTCCTCCTTCTATTTGAGGTTTTTCCCAGAAAATCTGAACAATTTATATAAATACGCATACACACCTACGTAACCAGTTTGATTTTCAGGATTAAATCTATGGAGGCCTTTGGTGTTTCGAATAACGTAACGTAAGTGGCGTTTAGGTGTAGGTACGTGTATTCCTTTTCTTTGTGCCGCCTTGAAGCCAAAAAGTCATTGATTATTTCTCATCGGAAGTAGGTAGTAGATAGCTGTTCTACAATATATCGACGGACGAGGGTGACATACCTAGAGTTATTGCATTGTCGATCGAGTTGTATGGTAGCAGTAGAGTAGGTACCTATTAGTCGATACTTCTATTACTTATATCTAAAACTGTAATCATTTTCAACCTAAGAACCTTCACGTATAAATGTCCAGAAAAGACTTTTGTCTTGAAATTATATTTACCTACTTGGTGTGTTGGCTGCATAATTTAACATTCTTCAATTTGATTATAGTGTGCAAACTGTCAAGGAAAGAAGAAAAGCATCTAGAGACAAAGAAGACAACAGATTAACGAAATTGATGCTAGTTATATTTCTGTGCTTCGTAATATGTTTTTTGCCGTCTATGTTAATGAATGTATTTGATGATGAGGTTACATATCCAGCATTACACGTTGTCGCATCCATTTTCTCTTGGGCTTCGAGTGTAATAAATCCATTTATTTACGCTGCGAGTAACCGCCAATATCGTACTGCTTACTCAAAGTTGTTCAATTGCATCATAGGCAGCGGTAAGGTTTGTGAAGTAAACTCGCACAAACCTGGAACCACAGATAATAAAGTTGGGTGTTCCGATAAAATAAATGGAAATGTAGATCTAACATAATTTTGAAACTAAAAGTTTAATCTTGTTAATATTTTGTTAATATCTATTTAACATTTTATAAGACTGATAACTATAGGAACTGAAAACTGATTTTTTTCAGATTAATATTTATGTTATTATTTTATGAACTCTTTTTGTTGGTTGCAACTTTACCTTGCATAGTTAGATATTGTAGTAAATATACAATTTTTATTTATATTTTTACATATAGGTGCCCAGTGTGCCGTGATGGGCAAATTACAAGGATAGAGTAATGGAATTACCCATTACCAATTACACACTAAGATATGTTGTAATCCCATTACCCATTACTCAATTTTATCGATTCTATTAAAATTATCCATTACAATTACTTACTCATTACTTTATAGCATTTTAGATTAAAGAAAAATCAATAGTATTCAATCGTTATATTTTACAATTGTTCAAAATAGCTGCCTGCAAGGCGTCCTCGCCTGGCAGTTAGAATAAGTGAGGCTGTTGAGAAAATTCTCTCAACAGCCGCACTAGAACATAAGGGCGTATTGTATTTTATAAAAGCACCCGCCACCTCAGGGTGGGACACCAGCGCAGGATACACATCTTCCCCTGGGTTAATGGGGCTCACTCTCCAATACCTATCAAATAGCAATTAATGCAAAACATAGACGTGATACAGCATACGAGCGAAAGTCACGTCACGGCGAAGACTAATTACTTATTATTGCATTATAAATGAATGCGAATCCCCCTCCCCCATATGAATAAAAGTGAGCAAAATGCTTATGCTTGAAAAATTCAAAGTAAATACTCGTAAGTGCTCCTTCACACTGGGCGACTTAGCAGCGCTGCTAAGGAGCAGGACAGGACACAGTGCAGCGCTGCTAAACAAACCAGTATGAAGGGACACTTACGAGTATTTACTTTGAATTTTGGAAGTATAAGCATTTGCTCACTTTTATTCAAGCCAATGAATAGCGCATTTTTTTGTGTTTTGCTTATTCCGCGTCGCTGAATACCCACACAAAACTGCAGGAGTCAGGACGCAGCAAATTAAACAACAATTATCCTTTTTTAATATATCATTTTACATCTCCTATCTATAGTTGCATTCTTGCGAATTTAAAAGTAATGGGTAATGCTTGAAGTAATAGATTAATTGGATTACCTTAACATTGTAATGGGATTACAGGTCTTTCCATTACTTTCCAAAATAAGACCAATTATCCATTACAATTTTTTGAAAAATGTAATCCCATTACAGTAATGGGATTACTGCCCAACACTGCCAGTGTGAGTTTTAATTCCAAGTAATCAAAATAACAGAAATAGTAAAAACTATATACCTACATAAAAGTCGATTAGTTCTAGCTACTTAGGGTTTCCCAGCTCGATAAAGGTAGATAACTACAGGTATACGCGGTCATCTCTGATTTCGTTTGTCATTCAATCTACCAAATTTTATTACATATTTGTTTACAAGATGGCGGCAATGTTTCAATTTGTCGAAAGTAAGTGTGTGTAGTATTATCTTTGCTGCGTAGAAAGCTGAAATTTAATATTTAGGTTCCTTGGATCCCTAGGGACTGTGTAGAAGAGCACTAAGTCGGGTGTTAGAACATCAGTAAGAACAATTAATACCTGGTTTCTCCACTGTAATTAAAATCGCCAAATCACAATAAGATTGAAAGTCGATACAAAATTTATTAAAAATGCCATACATTAGACTAATTGCCTGTTAATGAACAGAGAACACTCGGTACTTACTTTATTAAAAAATATAAGCTTAGACGTAAATTCCTATGTTCTTGCTTGCATTTAAAATTATCCTAAAGTGTGTTTACATAAGCTTTACAAATGGAAACGCATATCCTATCATACACAAAATCTGAAAACAATTTTTTCAAACACATTGCCAAGGGTCACTAACCAAAATATCTCACAAAATGACTATATCACAGAAGTATTACTAACATAAAATGATTAAACGTGAAAAGGGCTTTTGATACATTTGCATTTGCACACCAAAACTAAATGTAACCTCTAAAAGCCATACACATTTGACTTTTCTTATAAAAGAAATATTTTCTCTCAAATTAATTTTGAAATTTTTATCATGGTACACCAGTTAAAAAATTATTAGTCAATCAAACAATTGCAGATGGTTTTAATCTAAAATGGATTCACAATGATCTTTGGGTATGCCCGTTATCTACATGAAATAACAAAAATCACAACATTTACCAGGGCATGTGGTACTGAACATCTGGAATCGTCAGAGTTTGAATAGAGTAGTGGTGAGTTTTGCTACTCAATTGATGACGCATTGCACATTGCTTACAATTAATCGACACATAAATCAATGCACAACTTGGTTGGTATAGTACACCTAAAAATTACAATAAAAATCCACATTTTAATTTAAACCACTGAAATGTGTTGAAATATATAAAAAAATACCACAAAATTATATAAGATGGAGCGGAATGAAACAGTGCCAATTAAAAGATGTACCTACAGTATTACGTTAACGGAAAATTATTGCGCAACAGTGTTATTTTATTATATACACGATTAACACAGATAAGTTTGGTGAATTATTGTGATGCATCAAGCATACTTGTGTCCCATTTTACTTTTACTATAAATTAGTGGAATAATTTAAAATAAGTTATTTATAATCATCTATGTACAATACACACATTTAGTCTCTAACTTATTAATCATCCACTTGAACCATATGACCATGGACAGTGGACGACTGATGATATCGGCGGCGTGATGCAAAATCTTCATTGTCCTCATTCAGCTGAGCCGAAGTAAGGTTCACATCTGAATATACAGGTGTAACAACTATCTGTTCATATTCATGCGACCGTTTTCTGCATAAAATTTAGGTTACAAAGATGAGATAATAACTTAAACCATTACCCAAGGCACTGTAGTAAAACACTTCGAATCCATTTAAGTAATTTAAAATCAACGGCAACGCCAGGTTTAACTGCGGGGTTCGCTGTACCAATATACAACCAAACCAAAAAGACAACGGAGAGGCATACTAATGCATAAATCCAATTAACCAAAAACATTATCAAAATTTTTAAAACGGCCTGGAATGAGGATATGTAATTATGTTCTGTTAATATAGTCACTTACCCCAAAGAGAGATAGCCATCGATTGCACAAACAAGAATACCAATTTTTAGGTTTGGAATGTATGTAGGTTTTTGGAGAAATTGGAGTTAATTCATCTGAACTATTGGAAATATTAAATTTTGGATCGTAACTATTCTGCAACAAAAGATATCAGATTTTTATACGACGCTCGAATGGAAAATTACTTTTACGTTTTTGTACTGTGTACGTTCAGGAAAAAGGTGATCTAAATCATTGCTTTCTGTGCTAGGTGATAATTCTTGTTGCTCAGCCGCTGTGCTTGCTGCAGTTTGATGAAATCGTTGTTCTTTTTGATGTTGAAGATCAAAACTCTGGGCTAATGCAAAATATGCATAATCAACGCAAGCATACGTTAACAAAAATGGCATAGTCACAATGGGGGCTAAAGTATTAATTTTACCCGCCAGTATAAAAATAAGAGTGACGGTTCCAACTACTATCAAAGCGTATAAAGGCACTTTGTTCGGTCCACGCTACAAAAAGCATGTTATGAATACAAAAAAACACGAAAAATTAGTATTTACCCCTTTACTTAGGCAACCAATACCCGGTATAACATTTTCCATGGCAATGCTCTGAAGGACACGTGGAGTGCCATACATAGCGCCTAGACAACTAGACATAGATGACACATACAAACCGGCCAACAGTAAAAGTCTGACGGCCGATACTTTGGCTGCCAACATAAAATCGGTAAGTAACGCTTCACGATTACACGTCGCGCCCAAAAATAAAACAAACACAAGATATAAAAATGTCGCTGCACCAAGCGCTGCCAATGTGCCATTTGGAATATTAACTGAAGGTGCTTTCAAATCACCGCTCATGTTAATTCCCGACAAGACTCCCGTTACTGTAGGGAAAAAAACACCAAAAACTGTAAATCCATTATAACCATCCCTGTACGCTGGCCATGTGTTATTAGCAATATTCCCTTCAAACCACCCGTCGAAACCCGCACCTAAAAGTACGAATGTGAAAAGACAGTCTTAATTAAAAATTGGACCACTCACTAGGGTCTACATGAACAAAGCTGCCCACCATGAAATCAAGCCCTGCCGATAGCAGAATTAGTAACAATATGAACTGTAACTTAATAACCCACTTAACGCCGGCCAAATTTATCACAGCCAACAGTAAAACGGCGCCACTAGCTATTCCTCGAGCTGTCCAAGTTGAATTTGCTAAGCCGATCACTCCGGCCATTGATTCACCAAATCCCAAAACATTAAGTGCACAACCCACCGCCTAAAATATAAACATTATTTTCTTTTCAAATGTTCATAGATACCTATGCGACACAATATGTTGGACCACTCTGGGAAATACAGTATTTATTTGATATTCAAATTATTGCGATCTAATTAGAATTATTAATTTAAAGGGTAAACTTTGTTTTTTTATATTATATATAACAATAGAATTGAATAAACAAAAATAAATATGGTTTACGGTGGTAACAGTTATATACGATAGTTTTGATGCAAGCATTTTTGCATAGAATAAATTGTATTAGTTTCAGGAATGATTTATGGGGGTTTAACTGGATACACTAGATGATTTGGGGTGTAGCCGAGAGCGTATAGAGACTTTTGGACTACCAGTTCCCATAAAGTGTAGGGCAACTTAATTTTTTCGAATAGAAACCTTGAATATTCTTATTCTACATCGGAAAATAATAAACTTTCGTGGGAAACGTTTTTGTCTAAATTTATAATTTTTTTACTAAAAGCGCTATTTTCGGATTGAGCTAGGAAGCTGTACTGTCAAGAATTTGGTAACTGGTTTTTATGTTAACATCACTTTAAAAGGGGCCTATAAAGCTAAAGTTCTGGAAAGAATCTAAAAGGATTGCGAGGGCACCAGTAAGTAAGCCCTAGGAAGCTTACTAGCACCTAGATGCTTACTGTCTTACATTCCGCTTTAAAGTGTCTAAAACGCTCATGGAAAGTTCTAGAAAGGTCTCAAAAAATTCTGAACTTACACTTTAAAAAACGAGTTTGGAGATCAAACTCTTGTTTTGGTTTTAGCAGATAAAGTACACTGAAGTTTAGAACATCAAAGCCCGAGTACAAGAAAATCTGTAGTGGCCCTCTAAGCTTTTGTGTACTTTATATGCAAGTGTGGCCTTAGTATTTTGTGTACAGCTTACAGTAATAAGTATTCATATTTAAGCAGCACCTGTCCAAAACAGTAGAGTAATCCAAGTGACCCTCCAAAACGAGAGCCCAGAACATACGACAATATAAAATAAACTCCTCCACTTTCTACCCTGCAACGTTCACATATACCGACTGCAGAAAGTACTGATATAAGTGCGGTGAACACTATAATAAACAACTGTTAAAGCATTCAAGATAATCCTACCCTACACTAACCTGTTGCAACAATGATAAAAACGGCAGATAATATACCAGCTTGGGCAACCATCCACCCTGATCGTAAAAATACAATTACACCAAAAATATTTATCAAACAAGATGTAAATACTCCATCCCACGTTCCAAATAACACAGGTTGTGATATGAAAAAGTTAGACTTCCACCATGGAACATCACCCTAAAATATTACATTAATTTACTCCACTGGATAAATAATTGAATTAACATAGATGACAGGTATGTCCAAGACAACCCTTACTTGTTCTTCTGCAAACAATTCATTAGCTCCAGATGCTTGATGGCCACCGGCAGCATACTGATGCTCATTTCCAAGATCGACAAAGCCACCCGTGTGACTACGAGATCTGGATGAAGTCTCTGCTCCTAATCCGAAACGAGACCAATCCGGATTTTCTTTATTCCTGTTTCCTTCCATTTTATTTGACTCAACCGTTTGTTGATCTCAACACTTGTACAGTACAATGATTGCTATCTAAACGTATTATCGTTATGAACTGTTATCGCTTTCAAACTTATCATAGTAGATAATGAGCCCATTGTTACAATTTTCAATTATCTTAAAACATTTTCTTGGGAATGTAAGCTAAACGAAAGAGAAAGAGAGATGAGAATCTCTGACACAATACACAGCTGTTGTGATGACACATACGACCTTTTTTGGCAAATTAATCATCATTCCAAAAAAAGGTTAGGACAAACTAGTGACTGATCTCAGAGCTTTAGATCCTCATAGCACAAACGAACTACTAAAGGATTTTTACACTACCTACCTATTTATTTGTGTAGCACACGTATTAAGCCTGCCGTACACTAAATCTATACCGAAGAAAATCTTTGTTGAAAAATCAAACTTAGCAGCTAAGTCTAAGTACCCCTATCAAGTATACTGTTGCTGTAAATAAAATAATCAATTTGCATTTCAATGTTATTGCAAATGGTTAGGCCGCCAACAATACATATTCCGAGGTATATCTCTATCCTTTCAAGTTTTGCATATTTTCTTTATTTTACACAATAGATTATATACATGGTAATAGGTATTTTTCTATAATGGCATGGCATGTCTTGTAACTTAGCTAGGTCTAAAAGGTAATTAGCGAACAAAGTTAGCAATGATTGCATTTTTAGTGACACATTCATTCCCTGTTATCTGTTCTAATCAATTTTACTGGTCAAATAATTAAATTAATTTTTTATTGATGTAAAACCGGCAAATGTCGCCCTTTTTGGTAGTGTCTGACTAACTTGACATAAACGTGGCAAAATGTTGAAAAAAGCAAAAGGGTGACACTTTTTTTACTTCCAAAACGAATTGCTTATGATAATAGTGACCACGGTAATAAACTTGCGAGTGTCGCCCGTAAGTTATCGTATTCCGCATATATGGTATCCCGTTTAAGAAGCTATCATTGTATAGGTACTGTACGTGTCAAAAGCGTACAAAAATTATTTAGTGCTATTGCAATTGGCCTACAAGGTTATATACCCAGGTACCTACTGAACGAAATTAAACGAGTGCCTATTTACGTACATGTCATTAAAGCATCCTTCGAGTATCATTAGCGAGAGAACATTACAAATTAAATACACAAAAACTTCGATAGGAATATTTTAACCACTTCAATTTTAAATTAAATTTTGCAAATTTACATGCATCGAACGCGAAGGGGGGTACGTTGAGGCCACTAGATCAGTGGTTGAGGCACGACCTGCTGGTAATTAATAATTTGTAATTGTAAACAAGTTTTTGAAGAAAAGCTTTAAAAATATTGACGCGTCGCCAAAATGATTTGAATATCCACCATATATTACCTATTTCCTTTTTCGGAACTGTTTGACAATCCCCAAATTAATATATCTTCTCTGCACCTTTTCAAATTAACCACCTCAAACATTGGGATAAATTACTATTGGGAGAAAATATGGAACATTGAGTTAGATGAGAAAACTTGCAGCTTTACCAATTAAATCCGGTGAAGTCAATTGTTTCTTTAGATGTTTGTTAAGTCGTCGTTATTGAACGAACTATAACAAAACATTTGAGTATACTGTTTTACGTTTGCCCAAATATCTCGATCGAAGTGAAGCAAACTATAGAAGCAGTTATAACTACTGAAATTTTCATGCTTAATGATCTGAGGAAGTGTAACGTTTGTTATTACATCAATAAGGGGTTGACCATCCGCTCAATCGTGCGAATTAAAATCAACTTTCTACTGCAAAAATGAAATTTTTCCCAAGATATTAGTTGGCAGATGGCTAGCCCTAAAAGCAATTTCACTGCAATTATCTGATTGACAAATTTTCCCCCTTCTTTTGATCCTGGAAATCAAAGTTTGGACTTTCTTTGGAGTCAATTGATTGTAGACAGTAAATACAAACAAGTGAAAGATTTAATATATTGACGAAACAAAATAGATTCAAAATCCATTTTCAATTACGATAAATATTTAAAATTAACCCCTACTATCTAGGCCACGTTACTTTCTAAATACCACTATTTAAATTTCAGTGATCAATAAAAATTGTGGCTAACAAAGTTGAATGTGGTAGGTAATTCTCATTGAAACTGTAAATCAAGGGAAAAGAAAATCAAATCCTTATAGGTAATTTTACAGACTACCCGAAAGAATTTTCTGTCTGTGGAACATCTCATATTTGTTTCACTTTACATGTATATAGGTACTGATCTGATAATGTAGGTACCTAAAGGCCGAGCATACTATATGATTCCATGAATGAAACTTTCAATTGAAACTCCATTTCCATATTTTAAACGCCCAGAATTTTCAAGATTGGATTAACATTTTTTTCGGTCTTCTTTGGACTTCCGTTTTTTTGCACATAAACTTTTATGTAATCGTCTGATCGGTGGTTATATGTTTTTTAGGAGCGAATTGTTTCAGGTGCGCAACCCTCTATATAAGGATTATGTAGGCATGTAGTTAAGTAACATGCACCTGTTTCTCTTTATCTATATCGCACTTACAATTTTATTTATTCCTCAATGTGAATCATTTGCGAATGAATCGCCAATAATAGCGGTTGTGTGTGCTCCGGGCGTATGACGTTAAAACATCCAACGTGCAAGTGAAAAAATGGAAATATGCTCCTACATGTAAAACAATAATTTTGAAAGGGAGTGATGGACGGATGGGGTTCGTCCAACACCACTTTGGAGAGGCAGGCGTTGCTGTTCGAGATGCACTGCACGGGAAAAGAGTGAGTTTTAATTTTATGTTAATAATTAATGGAATGGCAAAGATTAGGTGGTGCATCAAGGAGTTTTCGCCCAGGTTTACTTTTTGGGTGGTTCATTGCTCAAACTATATCTTAAAATGCACTTCTTTAATACCGCCCAATCCATAACTTTTAATAGGTATCGTGTAGGCCATGTCTAAAAGCACTCGTGTGTGAGTTTTTAGCATCTCACTTCTTGGACGCCGCTACTAGAGTAGCTTAGATGAATGCGTTTTGTGGATGAAACTCTCCGGAAAAGATGGAGTCTGTGATATGTCCGTATGGACCTGCAAGATCATCTCCATTATTTCTTGTGAGTACCTTAAAAATTACAATATTGGCAACCTATCCTCATTCTTGCGATAACGGTGTGCGCGTGCCTATATAGGAAACATTTTCATCCGGTTTCTTCCCCTTTATAGAAGCATAGTATCGCTGTACTCTCCTTTCAATGGTGCTAAGGATGAAAACCACATCCACACACCCTTGAAAGCCTAAAGCGTGTCCAGACGTATTTTGGTATAAGTACATGTCGAAGTGTGTAAAACCAGACATTGCCAAAGAGGAGAGATCTATTGCATTGAAATCAGAGCTAGAAGTGGATCGAGCTCTTTCAAACAGTAATTGCTTGCGAACTATTTTAAAGCTATGAAAACCTGATGACTCGGAAGCTTCTTTAGTTTTCCATTAAAAAAAGAACTTCGGTTCCAGAGCTTTTTTAATAATTGCAGTATCCTTTATACCAACAATGTGCACTATTATTTTCTACTCTTTATAAAAACCATAAAAAAAATTCCTTGCAATACCATGTAGAAGAGCGCGTGATTACTAAAAGGAGTTAGGTAATAATTGAAAAATGCTCGCGATAACAGGTTGCAGGAGTAAGCTTTGAGTTCTTTTCCAAAGTAATTGCACCACAATGACTGGTACCTAGCTACTATTTATTGTACAAGTGCTCGGAATGTAAGAGTGGTAAGTGCTGACTTTTACCTTTACGACTCAGGTAGTCAACTGTTTAATCACAAATGGAATTAAATGCTTCAATTATATTCTAATTGAGAATGGAATTCGCTAATACAGTAAATTGGGCTTATTTATTCCATTTTCATATGATCTCTAAAGTGCAATATCAGAAAGACATTTTTGAAAATGTGGATTATAGTTTTACCTTTGGAACCACACTCGACCACAGTAATCAAACTATAGTTGCTCATTGAACAATTTCTCAATTGAAGCAAATTTTATTAAAAACACACTACAAATATTAAGCAAATATGCATCAAACTTGGAATCCATTTTTAAACCATTTGTGAAAATACAACTCATTACTAACAGTTAAAAAGATAAAGACTTAAGTATAATAAGTAGGTACGGTTCAATGAAAATGAAAATGAAATGAAATGATGTTCAATAGAACCTCAATTCTTGCTGGTAGGGGTAACAAGTCTTTATGGTAATTTTGAAGGTTAACAATCAATTGTTCAATAGAACCTCAATTCTTGCTAGTAGGGCTTATTGGAAGGATAGGCAAACTGGGCTACTTGGAAATACAAGGTTTCTATAATGCTACCTGGTGCAGAAGGTGCCATGGGGGTAGTCGAACGTAAGGTGCAGAAACCGATTGAAGATCGTCAGTGACTATACTTTGCAATTAGCCAAGTACAAGAAGTCTGAAAGTAGCGCTCTGCTCATTATCACAATGAACATGACAGAAAGATGAGACATTAAAAAAGGTAATGTTTTGAGACAGCGTATGAAGTCTCTGGCAGGAATGGCATAAATTATTCGATGGGCAGTCTGAAGACTGGGCATATAATTGTGTATGGTGTTTGTCGGATTTAAACATGATAAGGAAGATATGACGTTTCGAAACTCATATCGAAACTAATTAAGAACGTCTGGAATAATTTAAATGCTTAAATCGCCAAAGACGATGCTAACAAAACTACCTGAGCTGTTCCTAATCTGCAAAATCCTAGACGACTTAGCGTTCAAATCAAGTTGGGGGCTGATGAATCAGAAAAACAGAACCAAAAAAAATCTAACAAGTCATCTTTGTGCATATGAGGGGGAATTTAGAGATAGATGCTGAGACACTTGCCAAGAGGTCTAGTCACAAACGAAGATGACAAACAAGAGGAAGTGAATCCAATTGTAAATCAGCGTGAATGTACCTCAGAGAACAGTGTTTCTCCTGATCAAGCTCTAGAGGGAGAAAGATCAACATTCAACAAGCCCAAGTGTTGTTATTCAGCCAGTTCCTGATGAACATCCTAGACCTGTTGAAACTGAAGATCATATGATCATTGAACATAAAGTGGATTTACCTGTTGTCAAAGTGCTTGAGCAATAAGTCGACATTCACGAGGATGAGCATGATGAGACGCGAGGTACAGGCTCAGAAGCAGGAGAAGCGATTACGCGGCCCAAGAAGTATATAACGAGTAAGCTCAGATTCCTTCCCAAATAGGTACGTCCAAGGAAGCAAGGGAGAGCGCGGATCACAAAAATTGGCAAGGTGCCAATGAATAGTGAATTAAAATCCGTTAAAGAAATAACGATCACGTGTGAACGTTGTGCGAACCACCTAATTGCAAAGAGATATCCTGATGGGTCAATTAATGAAAAAGTATAAAGCAGGGCTCGTAGTAAAAGGATTCAGGCAACGAAAAGGAATTGATTACAAACAAAAGTTACACTTGGAACAGTTCGACATTTCCTCAGCGTTCCTGAATGAAAAGGTAACAGAATATGCAGCAGCCAGATGACTTCAGCGATGGATCTTGGAGTCTGTCGATTAAACAGAAGCTTGCGTTTGGTTTGAATTTGAAACAAGCGCATCAAGGTGTCGGAACTCCTGCTTTGAAGAGATTCTTCCTGAAATTGATTTTAAGCAGAGACGCTGTTTGCTGCGCCTGTTTATAAAGACTCCTGAGAAAAAGGAGATATACTCATTATACATATGTACCTACCTGTAGATGATGGTCTTATAGCAGCAAGTGATGAGAAACACACAAATGAGTTTTTATTTGATCCGAGACAGAAATGGAAAATTACTGAAAGATCGGTATCATTCTTCTTAAGTTTAGAGATAGAGCAAGTGGGCGGCGGATCCATTACAAGTAAGAATCCTATACGAAGAAGATTCTGAAGAGCTTTCGCATGATGGATTGCAATTCAGTGGTAGCACCTGTACAGAATGGAAGTACTTATCGAATCAGGGAAAGTGGATGATTATGCATAAATGTAGGTCCTTTAGCCTATCTCATGGTCGAAACACGTCTCAACATAACATATGCTGTAGGGCTAGTATCCAGAAAGTTGCAGAATACAACTAAAAGTGATTGGCAGAATGTGAAAAGGATATTCAGATTTCTAAAAGGAACTTTAGCTCTAGGTATCAAGTGCCATAGTGTTAGTAACAACAATGGAGTCATCGAAGGGTACAGTGATGCACGCTGATCATTAAAGACAGGACGCTCTGCTACTAACGTAATATGCTGGAGGTTAACAGCAAAGTTGGCTTCAAAGAAAATTCAGCAATATGTCAGAACTGAAGGGCGTGCTGACAGTGAAAGTTGATAATGAAGCTGCCATTCGACTTGCCCATAATCCCGACTTTCACAAAAGGACAAAACACATCAAGGTTAGCGTTAAGACACTTCTTTGTGTAAGAAATGGTTCAAGGAGAAAACCAGTTCTGCTAACCAATTAACTGGCATAGTGACAAAGGCAATTCCCATAGGCCAAGGATCGTGGAAATATGCACCGAGCTGGGATTGTGAGAAACAAGTACACTGTCATCAATTAGTATTAAAGCTCGTTACATTTATGATGGTTTAATAAATGTAAGTTACATGGTTTTATGACTTAAAACAAATTAATTATGAAATAATGTTTTGACTACAGTCATTAGAAAATAAAACGTCCTTTAAAAGAGATAGACATTACTCAGTTAATTCTATACATTTTGTAATTACACTGTTGCACTACAAGTGAAGTCAACATTACACAGGTCTCCGTTAAATTTTGAACTCTTGGAATAATAACATGAAATTTATATCTAAGGAAATAAATACATCCCTACAAAAGCGTAAGCGAATTCATGCATGCATAACTTATACTACGGATAAACAAACAGAAATCGTTTAACAAATTTATACTACAATATTGACTAATGTTCGTTTGCTTCTTGTGATGACTGGGATATTCTGATTTCTGAATATCTGCTACGGACTTGTAAGAAATTTTAAACAGTTTCTTATCTCTCTGGGCGGAATGTGCTCGCTTTTCTAAAACTACCCGAAAGAATCTTCCGTTAGTATTGGTCACAAGTTTCTTGGAGAACTTCTCATATTGGATTCAGTTTACCATCCATTGCATTTCGAAAGTAACCCTAATAAGTGTCAGTCAGTAAGTGCAAAAGAAATTATAATTTATATTTTAATAACGTACCAAGACTTTTGATCTGGTAATGTAAAGTGAGTCTTAATTATGCTAACGCCTATATCAGCACTGCATAACTCTTTCAACAGTAATGTCCAGACCTAGCTTTACATTTCAAACCCCCTTTTCTCCTTTGCATGCTTTCCCAACCCTCAAGAATCATAGGGTCTTCGGATCGGTGGAAACAGAGCGATAAGTTCCATTTTACCCAAAAGCCAGACCGAACTTGCGCCTATTCCATGAATGAAACATTTAATTGAAATTCCATTATTTTATTTTGAACTTGTAAGAAGAATTACAAAAAAACGTTCATTTTAATAATGAAAAGAGTAAATAACTATTTGAAGTTAATTTTACCACAAAATATATAGGAAACGATATTATCGGCATTATAATAAACGACTGAATAATGAAAATAAATCCTTCCTCTGTTCATGTTCTCCTGGTCGTCCGTCTTCAGATTTTATGTTCTGTATATACAAAATGGCAAAAAACATGGCCGGCTTTTCAGTCATCGAGTATGACGAGTTGCCTATACACCAGGCGGTATAATCCTAACTCTCCTAATATAGCATTTATTGGAATTTTGAGACCATTAACCGTATGGACTGAATTGGAATGATGTAAATATGTATTAGAGAGGTTTTATGAAAGGCAAATATGAAATGAATAGTCATTATTTCCGCGCGTAAACAAATCAATTGTTGGGAACGTGAAACCATTGTAATTGAATAAACAATGATGAAACGTTAATGCACCAACCAATTATAAATGCTGACGTTTATGTTTTTTAAATCTTTGATCTTGTGCTGCCTAAATGCAGTAACAAAGAGCAAAATTTTAACACATATTTCTTTCGACATCTAACGTTATTTCCTTGAACTGAATTGTACTTGTTACCATTAAATCCAGGGCACTGAATTATTGCCATCATAATGTTACATCGTATTCGCATAGATATCGCTACTGTTTAACAGAAAACTGCAGCTAACCTAATAGTCAGAATATAATCGATTCAGCAAACTAACATTAGATGTCAGAAGGATATGTTCTTTTGAATTTTAGGAACTACAATAAAAAAACAGAGGGAAAGTAGATAATTTTGATACTTTTCGACAGTACGTACAAGTAACAAATTTACAAAACACATAAACTTCAGCGTTTATAATTGCGCTTGCTACGTACTTCATTAAGTTATATGTTTCTAGCACTCGGTATGTGTTTTCGACCAGATGATCGACTTCATCATGATAGGCCCTATAGGAATGATCCGTCGTTACGAACAATCTGAAAGGATATCGTGGCGGTAGATTGCTCAAAACTTACCACTCTCACAGGAAAGGATTGATTGTTACGATCGATCATTAAACTGTTTGAAACGGAACAATAACGTGCTCAAATAATTCAATACCTCAGACTGAGACCATCACCGAATCGTTGATCGTAAAGAGCCATCCACTTTGATTAAGTATATCGTTACCGATCTTCACATACACTATCAATTTGCTGTTTTTGACGCCTCTTTACGCATTTCTTAACAGACTTGCTACCCATTTACTAGGAATTGGGCCCATTTTTAAAACTTTTTTGGAAATGGAACTCATTACGAACATTGAAGACTTAATTACATACTTTTATTTGCCAAATTCGAACCTCTTGGAATAATATGAAATTTACATCTAAGGAAAATACATCTCTAAAAAAGCATAAGCGAATTTGTGCATGCATAACCTTATACTACGGATAAACAAAATTGAAACTACAACATCGAATAATATTCGTTTGCTTCTTGTGATGAATGGAATGTCCAGATCAATGAATATCTGCTACGGATTTGTAAGCAACTTTTAAGTTTCTTGTCTCCCTTGGCAGAATGTGTCCGCTTTTGTAAAGCTACCTGCAACGATCTTCCGTTAGTACTTGTCTCAAGTTTCTTGTGGAACTTCTGGTATGGATTCAGTTGACCATTAATTACATTTCGAAAGTTACCCTAATAAGTGTCAGTAAGTGCAAAAGAAATTATAATTTATATTTTAATTACGTACCAAGGCTTTCGGTCTGGTAATGTAAAGCGAGTCTTAATTATGCTAACGTCTATATGAGCACTGCATAACCCTTTCAACAGCAATGTCCAGACCTAGCTTTACATTTCAAACCCCCTTTTCTCCTTTGCATGCTTTCCCATCCATCAAGAACCACAGGGCCTTCGGATCGGTCGAACCAGAGCGATAAGTTCCATTTTACCCAAAAGCCAGACCGAACTTGCGACGATTCCATGAATTAAACTATCAATTGAAATTCCATTTTCTTATTTTGAACTTGTAAGAGCAAGAAGAATTACAAAAAAACGTTCATTTTAATAATGAAAAAAGTAAATAACTATTTGAGGTTAATTTTACCACATACTATAGGAAAAGATTTTATCGACATTATTAAAAACCTATAATAATGAAAACTGATCCTTCCTATGTTCATGTTCTCCTGGTCGTCCGTCTTCAGATTTTATGTTCTGTATATACAAAATGGCAAAAAAACATGGCCGGTTTATCGGTCATCGAGTATGACGAGTTGCCTATACACCAGGGGGCATAATCCTAACTCTCCTAATATAGCATTTTTAAAGTATATATTGGAATTTTGAGACCATTAACCGTATGGACTGAATTGGAATGATGTAAATAAGTACTAGAGAGGTTTTATGAAAGGCAAATATAAAATCCGCGCTTAAACAAATCAATTGTTGGGAACGTGAAACCATTGTAATTGAATAAACAATGATGAAACGTTAATGCACCAACCAATTATAAGTGCTGACGTTTATGTGTTTTGTAAATCTTTGATCTTGTGCTGCCTAAATGCAGTAACAAAGAGCAAAATTTTAACACATATTTCTTTCGACATCTAACGTTATTTCCTTGAACTGAATTGTACTTGTTACCATTAAATGCAGGGCACTGAATTATTGCCATCATAATTTTACATCGTATTCGCATAGATGTCGCTACTGTATGACAGAAAACTGCAGCTAACCTAATAGTCAGAATATAATCGATTCAGCAAACTAACATTAGATGTCAGAAGGATATTTTTTTTAAATTTTAGGAACTACCATAAAAAAACAGAGGGAATGCAGATAATTTTGATACTTTTCGGCAGTACGTACAAGTAACAAATTTACAAAACACATAAACTTCAGCGTTTATAATTGGTTGCTATGTACTTCATTAAGTTATATGTTTCTAACACTCGGTATGTGTTTTCGACCAGATGATCGACTTCATCATGATAGGCCCCATAGGAATGATCCGTCGTTACGATCAATCTGAAAGGATATCGTGACGGTAGATTGCTCAAAACTTACCACTCTCACACGAAAGGATTGATTGTTACGATTGATCATTAAAATGTTTGAAACGGAACGATAACGTGCTCAAATAATTCAATACCTCAGACTGAGACCATCACCGAATCGTGATCGTAAAGAGCCATCCACTTTGATTAAGTATATCGTTACCAATCTTCACATACACTATCGATTTGTTGTTTTTGACGCCTCTTTACGCATTTCTTAACAGACTTGGTACCCATTTACTAAGAATTGGGCCCATTTTTAAAACTTTTTTGGAAATGGAACTCATTACGAACATTGAAGACTTAATTACATACACTTTTAATTGCCACATTCGAACCTCTTGGAATATGAAATTTACATCTAAGGAAAATACATCTCTAAAAAAGCATAAGCGATTTGTGCATGCATAAACTTATACTACGGATAAACAAAATTGAAACTACAACATCGAATAATATTCGTTTGCTTCTTGTGATGAATGGAATGTCCAGATCAATGAATATCTGCTACGGATTTGTAAGCAACTTTTACGTTTCTTGTCTCCCTTGGCAGAATGTGTCCGCTTTTATAAAGCTACCTGCAACGATCTTCCGTTAGTACTTGTTTCAAGTTTCTTGTGGAACTTCTGGTATTGGAATCAGTTTACCATCAATTGCATTTCGAAAGTGACCCTAATAAGTGTCAGTAAGTGCAAAAGAAATTATAATTTATATTTTAATTACGTACCAAGGTATTCGACCTGATATAAAGTGAGTCTTAATTACGCTAACGTCTATATGAGCACTGCATAACCCTTTCACCAGCAATGTCCAGACCTAGCTTTACATTTCAAACCCCCTTTTCTCCTTTGCATGCTATCCCATCCATAAAGGACAACAGAGTCTTCCGATCGGCTGAACCAGAGGGATAAGTTCCATTTTACCTAAAAGCCAGACCGAACTTGCGACGATTCCATGAATGAAACTTTGAATTGAAATTCCATTTTCTTATTTTGAACTTGAAAGAGCAAGAAGAATTACAAAAAAAACGTTCATTTTAATAATGAAAAAAGTAAATAACTATTTGAGGCTAATCTTACCACAAAATATAGGAAACGATATTAGCGGCATTATATTAATAATCTAAAGAATGAAAACAATTCCTTCCTCAATCCTCAGTTCATGTTCTTCTGGTCGTCCGTCTTCAGATTTTATTTTCTGTAGGTATTATATACAAAATGGCAAACAAACATGGCGGGTTTTTCGGTCATCGAGTATGATGAGTTGCCTATACATCAGGAGGCATAATCCTAACGCTCCTAATATAGCATTTTTAAAGTATGTATTGGAATTTTGAGACCATTAACCGTATGCACGGAATTGGAATGATGTAAATAAGTACTAGAGAGGTTTTATGAAAGGCAAATATGAACTTAATAGTCATTATTTCCGCGCGTAAACAAATCAATTGTTGGGAACGTGAAAACATTGTAATTGAATAAACAATGATGAAACGTTAATGCACCAAGCAATTATAAATGCTGACGTTTATGGGTTTTGTAAACTTATGATCTTGTATTGCCTAAATGCAGTAACAAAAATCAAAATTTCAACAAACTTTTCTTTCGACATCTAACGTTATTTCCTTCAACTGAATTGTACTTGTTACCATTAAATGTAGGGCACTAAATTATTACCATCATAATGTGACATTGTGTTCGTATAGATGTCGCTATTGTATAACAGAAAACTGCAGCTAACCTAATAGTCAGAATATAATCGATTCATCAAACTAACATTAGATGTCAGAAGGATATGTTCTTTTAAATTTTGGAACTACCATAAAAAAACAGAGGGAATGTAGATAATTTTGATACATTTCGGCAGTATGTACAAGTAACAAATTTACAAAACAAATAAACTTCAGCGTTTATTGGTTGCTGTGTACTTCAGTAACTTTCTACTTTCATGTCTCCAGCACTCGATATGTGTTTACGACTGGATGATAAACTTCTTCATGATAGGCTCCATATAGGCAATGATCCATCGTTACGATCAATGTGAAAGGATATCGCGACGGTAGGATTGCTCAAAACTTACCACTCATACGAAAGGAATGATCGTACAGAGCCATCCACTGTCGATTCATCAATATCCTATTTGATCAAGTAAATCGTTATCGATCTACACATACACTACCATTTGTCGTTTCAATTGAACAGAAATAATGGTTTTGACAGATCAAGTGTACCACATAAAGATTGCCGCACAATTGTCCGTTCCATTCCGTCCCGTTAAAAAACGTTCAACATGAAAGACATTGAATTAAACATCTCTGCACACATTATCCCGTTCCGTCAAGACTCATAAGTGTGCGTTAGCGCCAACCATCGCCGGAACGGGCAAATATGCGGCAACCTTAAAGGCCTCTTTATGCATTCTTTTCAGTGCAGAATTTCTTAACAAACTTGGTAACCATTTACTAAGAATTCAGGCCATTTTTAAACATTTTTTGGAAATAGAACTCATAACGAACATTGAAGACTTAATTATCTGTTTATTTGCCAAATTCGAACCTCTTGGAAACATGAAATTTATATCTAAGGACATAAATACATCTCCAAAAAGCATGCATAACTTATACTGCGGATAAACAAACACAAATCGTTTAACAAATTGATACTACAAAATCTACTAATGTACATTTGCTTCTTGTGATAAATAGGATGTCCTTCTAATTACTGAATATCCGCCACGGATTTGTAAAGAAGTTTAAAACCCTTGTCTCTTGTGGCAGAATGGGTCTGCTTTTCAAAAACAGTCCGAAAGAATCTTCTGTTAGTATTTGTCTCAAGTTTCTTGTACAACTTCTCGTCTTGGAATGACTTTATCTTCAATTGCAATACGAAATGTGACCCTAAAGAAATTATAATTTGTAGTTTTAATTATGTACCGAGGAGCAGGAAGAATTACAAAAAAAACGTTCACTTTAATATGATCTAAGACTTTAATGATGGACAAGTAAACAACAGTTTCAACCTTTGAGGTTTACTACTCAGTCAGGAAACGACATTATCGGCATTTTCATAGAAACTGGTAACAATTACAATTATCCTTCTTTGTTTATGTTCTCCTGGTCCTTAGCCTTTAGATTTCGTGTTCTATACATACAAAATGGCAAAAAACATGGACGCTTTTCAGTCATGGGGTTAGACGAGTTGCCTACACACGAGGGTGTACTTGTCTAACGAGTCTATTAAAGCCTTTTTACCTATTTTTGAAAGTATATATTAGAATTTTGAGCCATTATTCTTACGTACGGCATTTCATTAAATTTAAAATGATGTAAATAAGTACTCGAAGTGGTTGTATGAAACAAAAATGTGAATTTAGTATTCATTCTTTCCGCGCGTAAACTAATCGTTTGTTGTGAATAAACAATGATGAAAAGTAATGCAGCAATCAATTATAAACGCTGAAGTTTATGTGTTTTGTAAATTTGTTACTTATACATAACTTAGACTAAGAATTAAGGTACATACTGTCATTGTTTAAAACTGTCTAAATGTATCAAACTTACATGTTGGTTTTTTTAAAATTTAAAATATACTTCGTTCTGACATCTGACGTTAGTTTGCTGAATCGATCATATTATTACTAGTAGGTAGATGCAGGTTTCTGTCATACGGTGGCGACATCTATGCGAATATGATGTCACATTATGATGGTAATAAGTTAGTGCCCTACATTTATTGGTAACTTTTACAATTCAGTTCAGAGAAATAACGTTAGATGTCGCAACAATATATTTTTGAAATTTTGCTTTGTGTTGCTACATTTAGGCAGTACAAGATCAAAGTTTTACAAAACACATAAACTTCAGCATTTATAATTGGTTGCTGCATTATCGTTTCATCATTGTTTATTGAATTACAATGGCTTCATGTTCCCAAAAATTGATTTGTTAACGCGCGGAAAGAATGAATACTAATTTCATATTTTCGTATCATAAAAACTCTCTAGTACTTATTTACATCTGTTTAGATTTATTGAAATGCCATACGTATGGGTAATGGCCTCAAAATTTCAATATGAACCTTAAAAATATGTAAAAATGCTTTTTACGCACGTTAGGATTGTGCACCCTGGTGTATAGGCAACTCGTCATACTCGATGATCCGAAAAACCGGCCATTTTGATCTAGTAGCCCGATATTCAAACTGTTTGAAATTATGGATTCTACAGGCCACATTCTATAAGAAAATTGTTTTTTCCGGGTCGATCTGAGACAATTTTTTTTGAGGGTCTCAAAAAAAGGCAGTGTATAACCTTCCTTTTTTACCAAAAATCGACTGCACCAAAATTTCTCGGGAAAACACTTGTTCTTATTAATTTTGGTGCGTAGAATCCAAAACAATTCGTACTTTTTCGATCAGACTTCCCAATCAAAAGTTATGGACTAGAAACCAATTTCGAAAGAAAGTTCAAAGGCTGTAACTTTTGATCTAGTATCCCAATCTTCAAACTGTTTGAAATTATGGACTCTACAGGCCAAATTTCTCAGCTCTTATGGGATACATACTTCCCCATCAAAAGATCTTTTTTAATCAGACTTCACTTTTTAGCCGGTCTCAAGCAGTAACCTCCATCGCTAGCTAACGACGACACTTTTCCGATGCGAAGACCGAAGGAACTAGTCAACTCTGCAATTCTCAACAAAGACCAACATTCTTGGGTAAGACAATGAAATCCTGTTTATACGTTTCTGGATAATCTTATTGTTGTAGGGATGAATACTGTTCACCATCACCACTTCGAATTCGGCGCTGTCATCATCATCATTCCGGTCCATCCGTCATCGAGGTTTACTGGTAGCTACTAGTAGTCAATCAAAGCGACTATGGTGTTTCACTACTAGTAGCTTCAATTGAGAACAAAATATACGTAGCAAGTTATTTATTTTTTAAGTTATCACTGTTACAAGAAGATCTTTGTAATACAAAAAAAGAACCTTATTTCATTTGTTCATCTCTAGAATTATATTGTACTGCCCTAACTGCACTTTGCTGGCAGCTGGCACTAGTT